AATAAAATAAAACAATCTCCATATGATTAATAACACTAGCTAAATATTGTTTCAAATTTCAATCCCATAGGGCTTGTATTAACAGCTTTCTTTTTTATTTCAATACTATGGGAGATCAACTGATTTCTTTTTTCAATCAATATTCTTGTATAAGAAAAAACATTGTGCTTTTTGTATTGTTCAATTCCTATTTTTTTTGTCACATGGTTACTCGAATGACTTCAATTACTCTAAACCACACTCAGTATCCTCATATAGATTTGACCTTTAGAGTTCATCAGGTCCAAATTTGTTGGACCTAGACCAAGTCAAATCGAACTCTATTTGATGATTAGCGCACTCTATACATTTCTCAGACGACTGAAGCGCCTCTACCATTTCAAAATTTTCGGATTCAGTTAAGAGATTAATTTCAGATTCAAACTCGATTAGTCTGAGACCAGCGTGACAGGCTGCACTGACTATACTATGAGTATATCAGAAAAGTAGCTCTTCTGAAACCGCTATCTGAAGCAAAAGATGAACTTAATAATAAAATTAAAAAAACAAAAAACGAAAATTTTTTTTTCTTCGTTAGGTGCCATTCGAGAAAAAGAACGTGAACTTATTATTGCATTACAATCTCAACATCAAGCAAATAATTGTATATTTAATGGTCATCCTCATTCACATTGTTCAACATCATCTGGACATTCATCACCAACACATCAATTAATTGATACAAATAATAATCCAACAACAACAATGACTCCATCATGTTCAACAACTATGTTTTATCCGCCAACTGCTGTTACACCACCGCCATTACAAAATGCTACATCTAACCTCGATCCTAATGCTCAAGATTTTTGTTTACCAACACATTCGACAAATAACAATTAGACGAAAAATAAAACAAAAAAAAAAAGAACATAAAAAATTTATTATTTAAATATATAGTGAGATTTAAGAGAAAAAAAAAACGATGACAACGGCCATTTTTATTTTTAGATCATCATAACATTCATAGCATTTTCTTTCTTTTTTTTTCTTGTTTGTGTAAACGTATATCCGAAATCTTTCGCTCTTTTTTTTTTCGTCTTTTTTTTTGATCGATATTTCCCCTATTCGTATGCGTGTATTTGTTTATTTGTGTGTGTAAATTGTTTATTTTCCTCTTCTATCTAATACAGATTCAAACCGTACCCTTTCTATATATTAACATCATTATCAAATGTCTCATTTGGTCTCTTTTCTACATGTATTTTTGTCGATTCTTTTCCTTTTATGTATATGAAATATCATCATCATCATGGTTGTTGTCGTTTGTTTTGTTTGCATATACAAGAAAACATTAAAATAATTGACCATATTGATGATGGACTATTATTATTTGATTTTATGTTTTTTATTTAACATAATAATGAAAAGTTATTATCTGAATTGTTTATTGGACTTGTAAACAATATGAAAGAAACACGAGTATTGTTCGTCCCGATTAAGATAAAAAAAAGAAACTAGTTCCCATCAGAGAAAGATTTCGTCCTATGAAAAAAAAAAGATATAATAAAAATTGGGTCAATATAAACGTTTAAAATTATTCTTTTACAATTGTTTATTATTTAAAAACATCTATTCTCCTCATTGGATGTTTTATAAGATGAACGACATAAATTGTTCTAATTTTAGTTCCAATCAACTTAAATTTTACCTTTGATTTCGATCTCAGTCCTTTTGATATTTCGTAGAAAATTACTTAGGCCTAAAAGAAAAGAGTATAAATCTATCCGAATAAATCTCAATATTTATTTAAGAAAGTATTCTTTTAATGTATATGTAATTTTTAACTTTATTTTTAGAACTAATATAAAAATGGTTAATCGAAAAATAAAATTATTAATACCAAAAGAACGTGGTGAATTAATACCAATATTTTTTGTCATCGCTCTTATTAGTATATATGTTACATTTGAATTATATGTTATCTTACCAGCTATTTATAATAATATATTTACTTATAAAGAAGTTTGTCATCTTATATTTGGTCTTTATGTTATTTTTAATTTAGTTGGAAATTTATTTTTATGTATGGCTACTGATACATCAATAGATACAATTATATGTCCTGTTTTATTACCACCACCAACTGTTAAAACAACAAATACACAACAGGATATGATTTTTCAATATTGTAATTGGCATTATTGTTATCAATGTGAAGTTAATGTTCCACCACGTTCTCAACATTGTCATTTATGTAAAAAATGTATTTTAAAACGTGATCATCATTGTTCATTTCTTGGTAGATGTATTGGTTTTAGAAATATTCGTTATTATATGTGTTTTCTTATATGGTCTTGGGTAAAATTAATAGATATATATATATACATATATACAGTGGTTTGCAAAAAAACTTGAAACAATTAGTCAACACAAAGATTTAATATTTCCTAGCTTTTTTGGAGGGCATCTTTTGTTGTTATCGTAGATTTATATTTAGTAGGTTATCTACTTAACATATTTATTTACTTTATCGATTTGTGTTTTTTCGTTATTAGAGCAGAGTTCGATATGATAAAGCCAAACAATACGAAAAAATAGCATATTTCTCTATTATATTATTGAAGCAAGGGAATTCGTTCAACCAGAAAAAAAACCATCAGGTTACAAACACACCTTTGCCTACAATTACTTATCAGTTGAGACAGCTCAGGTACCAAAGTTCTTTAAAGTATCGAACGGATAAATTATGGATAACCGTACGCTTGATACTACATACAGTCGAGCACGAGATCAGTTCATTACGTGAAATTACAAAGTCGCGATCGATGAATCCACTGAAAAGTCACCAAACTAATGTCTCTTAATTGTTTCATAGTATGTCAATCAGTTTCGGTTCCATTTGAATTCGTGCTGATTGGCGACCAGTCTAAAATATGAGAAATACTCGTCGTCACTACTATTTCTCATATTTTGGACTGATCACTCAACAACTCGGATATTAATCTCATTGAAAATGTTTGGAATGTGTGAAACATAGAGTCGGGAAAAGAAAATTAAAACATACTAGTAAACTGAAGACTTTTTACAAACTAAAAATGAACTCATATGAAAAAATAAGTTGTAATTAGTTTGGTAAATCGCATAAAAAAAGATGCAATTAAGTTTTTGAAGTAAAAGAAGAGAGAACACAATACTGAACGGAATGTTGTTAAGCTATGAACTATTGTTTAGGAAATAACGAAACATTTTTTTCAAGACGATTAACTCAGGCGCTAATATAAGCTAAATGTTTGTTCCAAGTTTTTTTTTGCAAAAAACTGTATATATATATATATGCGTAAAATAAAATTAAAATTTTTGTTTTTTATTCTTAATTTAAGATTGGTTTATTCTACTGTAATATTCTTCATGTAGATTATACCTATGAACTTGTTGGAACATTTTCATGGCGTGTTATTGTTGGTAAGTTAAATTTTGTATTTATTATCTTTAATTATATAAAAGATGAGCTAAAACTAAGCTGAGACGGAAGTGCTCACAAAAGAAAAAGAAAGAAAAGAAAAGAAAAACAAATTATATATTATTCTTCTTAACAAGGATGTAACCTATTTATAGATTACTTATATATATTTCCTCATGCAAAAGAAATCATGAGAGTTTCTCATAAGAATATTCCAGACAGCAGATGGGAATATTTTGTAGTTTTCATAGATGTTTTTTAATATTAGGATGTTTATCAATTCATATTTGATTATTTATTATAGCATGTCTTTTTCCATTCGGTGCATGGTTATTTCGTATTCTTGATCATTTTTCTCTTTTACTTTCATTTATTTGTTCAACATCAATTGTATTAAGTCTTTATGTATTATTTTTAATTATTCAACAAATATATCTTATTGTTAATGGACAAACATGGCATGAATATGGTAAAAATATTCATATATATAGTGGTCAAAAAAACTTACAAACAAATTTCGAAGTTGTTTTTGGTAAACAATGGTATTTGATGTTATTCTCACCATTAATATCATCACCACCAATTGGTGATGGAATGTCATTTGATATAAAAACGACTGAAACGAATGATGCACGACATTTTGAAACAAAACGAATTTAACTTTTCTTCTTTTTTTTTTCTTTGCTGTTGCTGTATTCAAACATTATGTGTGATAGCTTTCTGTTTGTTTTTTTGTGCTGATTAGTGTTAATTACAAAATCAAAAGAACAAAAACAAATTTTTTTTTCAGATGATGTCTACTCCTGGTTCACAACATCTTGCTGGTACTGATTATCCACATCGTGAATCTATGACTTCACAGTATCATGTTATAGCAGAAACAAAATCTCGTCTTCGTATATTAATCTATTTTCATTTTCTATTAGCTTTTCTTGTTTTTATTCATATTCTAACATATCATATACCTCTAATAGCAATACTAGATGTACCACGTCCTCATTTATGGGAATATATATGGCTCAACAGTGTTTTACCATCAATATGTGGTCTATTATCATTAAATAAAAATCGTGTTTTTTTAATGAGAATTTGTTTTCGTGGTACACTTCTATTTGGTTTAGGTACAATAGTGACAACAATTATACTTAATTTAAGTGAATTATTTACATTTAAAAAATTAAAATCTAGTCATAAATTAGATGAAATTGAACCACAAAAATTTCTTGGTTTTCCATTATTAGTACTATGGTATATATTTTTAGTAATAACTGTGCAAATTCATGCATTTAGTTTATACATGGCGAATGTTTTATTATGTAGTTGGCAACAATATAAAAGTACGAAACATTACTAGTCATATTTTTAAGTATTTTTAATAATTAATTACAAAGAACAGCAAACGATAAAAGAATACGAATCCCGTGTGTGCAATCCTTGTTTGTTTGTTTTGTTGGAGTTTTAATCTCATTTATTAATAAACGATAAGCTTTATCATTTGAGTCAAAAAAAAATAAACACAAAAAAAAAGCAAAGAAGACATATTTATATTTCAGACTGAATGTTGTTTGTTGTATTTTTGCTTATTTTTCAATCTTGTTATTCATTGATTGATAAAAATAATGAACAATGTACAAAAGATTCTTGTTCATCATTAACATCTTCGACATATTATTTGTTGTATGATGTTAATCATGGAGAAGGTTTTAATTTACGTCGAGATGTTTATATAAGAATGGCTAATCTTATACATACACTTCGTGAACGTACATCATCAGAATCAAATTGGATACTTGTTCTTCCACCGTGGGGTCCTCTTTATCATTGGTTTTCTTACAATCTTCAACGGACTCAATTAAAATGGTCAAATTTTTTTGATATTACAAGTCTTTCACGTTTTATACCTGTTATTGAATTTGAAGATTTTCTTCATTTATCATCATCATCAACTTCCATGATAACTATTCCATATGTTTATACATTACAACATTTTAGTGAAGGATGGGGAGAGCATTTCGAAGAAAAATTAGAAATACGTAAATGTAATGAAGAAGCTATGTATAAAAAAAACGATGATAATTATTACTATGGATGGTTTTTTGGCTATGAAAATCGTGTACGTGCTAAACAATTTCAATGTCTATCAGCTCAAGGTTTTATTACTGTACTTGTAGATTATTTACTTAAAAATATAACATGGCCACAAGATTCAGATGATAAGCATTTAACAAAAAGTATTATGTTTGATCGAGCTGAAACATTATTACATGTAGATTATGGTGGTTATAATTATTGGCGAGCAAGACGTAGTATGAGATATGCAACACACTTACTAGATCTTGGTGAGCATGATGTTATTTTGTGGAATTAACATATATTTTCAAACAAAATAGCAGATCTCTAGAAGTTTGCTGCTTTGCTCTCGTAATCGAGTTGGTCATTGATTATACTTCCATAGCCATCGGATACAATCGGTATCCTACATGATTCTTAGAGTTCTTTAGGAACAAAAAAAAAAAGCCTTTAACAGCATTAATGGCAACACTTAGAATGTTCTAGAACATTCCAAAGCCTTCGTAAAAAATTGAATGGTTGAAATACGTTTCTGAATGTTTTAAAAAGTACAGTTTTTGATCTTTACACAAATAAAAAAAAAAAAATTTAAGATGTCCATGATGATTAGTGTTAATCTATTGATTTGACAGTAGTCATATGATCAACATAATAAAGCGTGAAGTAATCGAGATATGCAATAGCACGATGAGACCTGTTGTTTATCTAATGAATATGGACAACACGCTTATTTGCCAGTTAAATCAATAGTTAAAATAATAATCATAATAATAATGTTCAATTAAAAAAAAGAAGCACAAAAAAGAAACAAATAACGAGCAATAAGCAACAAGACAAACAAGAAATATAGCGTCAGTGAAAAAGTTCACTTCAAAATGCAGAATTAAATCAGACAGATTGTTTTTCGCATGATCAATTATCTTGAAAAATAACTATAGTCTTCGAAAGGTTTTTTATTTTACATATTTTATTTTAGTATACTGAGACTAAAAACCCACATCAATTCCATATTTTAACTCCTCAAAGGAGCTGCGCTAACAAGCTTTTTCTCTTTTGAAAGACATGAAAAATGTTGTGAAAAGCGAAGCTAAAAGGAGTATTGAAGTATATAGCACGAACTGCAACAGACATTGTTGATATACGATCAAAGAATGTCTATCAATAGTGTGTCATTATAAAATATGAAATAGTTTCTTCTTGAATTTGAGGAGGATCAAATAGAAGAATGATGAAGAAATGTACGCTGAAATAGATGAAATGAAACAATCTTCCCATGATTAGCAAGAGCAGCTTCATTGTGTTTCATGTTTTAATCCCGCCGGAATTATGCTAGAAGTTTTTTTTCTATATTAATTACTCTTTTTTTCAGGCAATCGTTTTCGTGCTGATTATTTAAATTCAACGGATGTAAATGATCGTACTGTACTTATTGATGATTGGACTAAAATGAAACGTCATCATGGTCATGCAATTGGTGGTCCTTATCTTGGTATTCATCTTCGTCGTCTTGACTATGTTAAAGCACGACCAGGACATGTTCCATCTCTTGAACATGCTGCTCGACAAGTGTGTTATCATCTAAATCGTTTAAATCTATCAGTTGTTTTTATTGCAACAGATACCAATGAAAATGAAATTAATATACTTCGTCAGCATGCTTATCGTATATGTAATATATCAACCAATCAAATATATACTTATAGACCAAAGGAAACAATTTTAGAGAAAATATTAGATGGCGGTAAAGCCATTGTTGATCAATGGATATGTGCACATGCACATTATTTTATTGGTAGTTATGAATCAACATTTAGTTTTCGAATACAAGAAGATAGAGAAATATTTGGTTTTGAAAAAGATTTTACTTTTAATCGATTATGTGGTGATCATGAAGGTATTTCATGTGAAAAATCAACTATATGGTCAATTGTTTATTAAAAATCTATTATTATATTTTCTCAATACTTTATTCTGATAATCGGTTTTGGTTTTTTCTCGAAGTTTTTATGCATGTATGTGGAATCTCATTTTGACAGATAATTTTTGTTTATTGTCAATCAATTACCGTAATGAAAAAAAAAAGAAGAATTATAAATAAGACTGTCAAATAGAAATTTTAGTGCGCACTAGTACTACACACTGATAAAGGGAAAAAAGAACGAACGAAAAGTATGGGTATTTATCGACGTGGAAGGTGTGCACAATGACACATTTCTGTTTTTTGTTATGATAATAAACGTGTTTTTTTACCAAAGGTTGAGGCAAAAATATATATAAATACATATGTTTACATGATTTATTATCTTTTTTTTTTTTTTTTACAGATTTTCCTTAAGCCTGAGCATGGAATTATTCTCCTTCGTATTCACATCCTTTGACATAGCTACTTCTATAATTTTATTAATAATAACACTAATAGGAGCCTATTGGTTTTGGCTCAAGCCACGTGCACCTTCCTCCTCTAAATTAAACGATGTAAACGTTACGTTAAGAAACTTTAAAATGTAAGTTTGAACATTTTATTTTGTTTTGGAATTTAATTATTTACATTTGATAGAGATAATGGCGCTGGAAAAACAGCAGGAACAACTCACGAGGGTAGTTTTGTGGATCGTATGTTACACTCTAATAAACAAATGGTTGTGTTTTATGGTTCACAAACGGGTACAGCAGAAGATTTCGCACAACGTATTGCTAAACAAGCTAAACGTTATGGCATATCTGCAGCTGTTTGTGATCCAGAAGAATGTGACATGGTTTGTTATTGAAAATTTTCATATATGATTCTTTATAATAAGTTAGTTTTTTTTATAATTAGGAAGAATTACAACGTTTAATAACGATTGATAAACATTTAGCTTTATTTTGTTTGGCAACATATGGTGAAGGTGATCCAACAGATAATGCTCAAGAATTTTATGAATGGTTGCGTGAAGATGGACGAGATTTGAATAATTTACATTATGCTGTAATATTGATTCACGTAGAAATATGTAGAAAAGAAAAATTATTTTGTTTTTATTTTAAGGTATTCGGTCTTGGTAATAAAACATATGAACATTATAATGCTGTTGGAAAATATGTTGATAAACGTTTGACTGAATTGGGTGGTGTTCGTGTATGTGAATTAGGTCTTGGTGATGATGATGGAAAGTATGTATGAAAAATTTTTATTAAATTTTATATATTAATTATTTGTTTTAGTATTGAAGATGATTTTATGGCATGGGCAACTGTATTTTGGCAAAGTGTTTGTCAAAAATATGAGCTTGTTATAAATTCTGATGGAAGCTCGTATGATATATTTTTATTTCTTTTTCAATTCTAATACTTATGTATGCATATGTCTTCATTAGAATGAAACAATATAAAATTGTTCAAGGACCATTTCCACCTGAAACTGTTTTTACTGGTGAAATTGGTCGATTGAAATCATATGAAAGACAAAAACCGTATGTTTACTTGAGAAAAAAAACAAAAGAAAATTATGTTATTTTGTAATAGACCATTTGATATTCGTAATCCATATTTAGCACCAGTTGTTGGTAGTCGTGAATTATTTCAAAATGGTTGTGCTCGTTCTTGTCTGCATCTAGAATTGGATATATCAAATACACGTATAAAGTAAAAGATATATAGAATACATTTATCTTTTTGAGCTTAACATCAAAGTGAATTTTTTAAAAATTAGATATGAAGCCGGTGATCATGTTGCTGTATTTCCATCAAATGATGATTCTTTAGTTAATCGTATTGGTGAATTACTCAATGTTAATCTCGATGAAGTTATTTCACTTGTTAACGTCGATGGTAATTGTTCACAACTATCGTTTTCTTTATAGAAATTTCTACATTTTCTTTTTCTTTTTAATAGAGGATGCCCAAAAGAAAAATCCATTTCCATGTCCATGCAGTTATCGTACGGCATTAACATATTATTTAGATTTAACAAGTATGCCAAATACACAAATACTTAAAGAAATAGCACAATATGCAACAGATGAAAATGAAAAAGCTCTATTAACATTAATGGGTTCATATAGTGAAGAAGGAAAAGTAAGAAAAAAGAGTTTACTCTTGATAGTTTTTCTTTTCTATTTATATATATATATATTAATTGAAATAGATTAAATATAAAGAATGGGTTCTTGACAGTTGTCGTTCAATAATTGCTATTCTTGAAGATTTACCATCATTAAAACCTCCCCTTGATCATCTTTGTGAATTATTACCACGTTTACATCCACGTTATTATTCAATATCATCATCACCAAGAGTTCATCCAACATGTGTTCATATAACAGCTGTTATTGTTCATTTTGAAACACCAACAAAACGTATTGCAAAAGGCGTTGCAACAAATTGTTTTAAAGAATTATATATTCGACATCAAGCATTAGGTTTTGCTCAACATAATGAAGAAAATCATTGTCATGTACCTGGTCGGTTTCCAATTTATATACGTAAATCAACATTTCGTTTACCATTTAAATTTCAAATACCAGTTATTATGATTGGTATGAAAATAAAAAAATTTTTCTTTTGGTTCAATTAATTATTATTTTTTGACTTTTTTTCTCAAATTTTTCTATAGGTCCTGGAACGGGTTTAGCACCATTTCGTGGATTTATACAAGAACGTCATTATTATAAAACTCAAGGCAAACCAGTTGGTGAAACAATTCTTTATTATGGTTGTCGAAATCGAGCTGAAGATTATTTATATGAAGAAGAATTAAATTATTTTATCAATGAAAACGTACTTGAATTACATGTAGCTTTTTCACGTGATCAAGAAGAAAAAATTTATGTAACACATTTATTAAAAGATCACGGACAAAGAATATGGAAATTGATTAAAGAAGATAATGCTTCAATATATGTTTGCGGGTAAAAGAAATTTTAAATGAAATTTATCCTTTATTTTATTCTATTTAAATTAGTGATGCTAAAAATATGGCTAGAGATGTGCATTCTATATTAATAGATATTGCTCAAACATATGGTAATATGACATCAGAAAAAGCAGGTACATTCATTAAAGAGCTAACACAAAAAGGACGATATTCACAAGATGTATGGAGTTAAACGATAAAGTCACCGATGAATTTAATTTAATGAATATGTGCACGTCGTGATACAACAGACTTATTTTTTTTTTAAGTGGCAGTGTGTGTATCTGATTTTGTTTTCTATTCATTTCATTTTCTTTTCTTTAAACACATTTGTTTGAAAAATTCAGATCAAAAAAAGCAGCATGTCATGGTTATTTTATTGATGAAATTTTTTAATAGATTATTTTTTGAATATAATGAATTCTATAAATCAAACATAAAAAATGAAGATAATATGAAATGTACTAATTAATTATAAGTTTCTTGTTAACTTCGATACATAGTCGAAGCAAATAGAGCAGTACCAAGAAGAATACCACTTGCAATAGAAACTTGAAATTTAGAAACGAATTTTGTCCATGGAGCAAAACACATCATAAGACCAATACTTGATGTTAATGAAAGAAAACTAAATACTTGATCACTTATAGCAATTCCATATCTTGAAATATATAAAAATTCATATTATGAATAATTATTAAAAATAACATAAATATTAACTAACCGACACCAGTGAGCAAAATGTTCACAATTATTCAACATTAAATCATAACCACTAAACCCGAGTGCACTATGAGCTCGTCGAAGAATTTCATCTCTAGGCAACGGATGAAATATACAATCTTTACTATTATTTATATAAGCAATTGATGATGAAAGAAGACCATTAAAATCACATATTTCAATTTGCATTTGTTCAATCCAATGACCCGATAATATTCGCCAGATAGTTTGGACAATCTATATATATATATACATATATAAATATATATCTGTACTAGATTCATGAATAATGAATGCAACTTTTCAACCTGAAAATTAGCAAAAACATTCGATGGTCCTGGTAAATGTGCGATTTGATTATTACCAAGATAGACAGCCCAATGTGAAAAAGGTCCTCGAACATATTCGATAAGATCACCAGACACAAGTAAATGACGTTTATCATCGGTATCACAACGTTGCAATTTATATGGTCGATTAACAATACCTAACATCCAATTGTTATTATTCATTTTCATGTTATTTTTTCTCTATTTTTAATTTTCATCTTTCAAGCGCCATAAATTAAAATAAAAGAACAAATTTCATATGCATATGAGCAAAGGTTTATTTCAAAAGAAGAGAAGAAGTAGAGCACATATACTTAGCACCATAAAATCAGCTTATGAAAGAAGAGAAAAAAAAGAAATAAGAAATAAAAAACTCTATGTGTGTGTCTATGCTGTTTGTTGAATTTGTTTTTAGTTTAAAAGCATTTACGGTGAACAATTGATGGACCAGCTTCATCATATTCTTGTTTTGAGATCCACATTTGTTGAAAGGTTGAGAGTGAAGCTAAGATTGAACCACCAATCCAGACTGAATATTTACGTTCAGGTGGAGCAATGATCTTGATCTTCATGGTTGATGGAGCCAAAGCAGTAATTTCTTTTTGCATACGATCAGCAATACCAGGGTACATTGAGGTGCCTAAATAAAAATGATAAAGTTTTTTTTTATTTGTAAAAATAACATAGATAATCAATATAAATTTTACCTCCTGATAAGACAGTGTTAGCATATAAATCTTTACGAATATCAATGTCACATTTCATGATTGAGTTGAATGTAGTTTCATGAATACCAGCAACTTCCATACCCTAGATTATAGATAGAAAAACATATTCGTAAAAAACAAAGAATCATTTTGAAAAAAAAAACGTCATACCAAAAATGATGGTTGAAAGAGTGACTCTGGGCAACGGAAACGTTCGTTACCAATGGTAATAACTTGACCATCAGGTAATTCGTAGCTCTTTTCGAGTGACGATGTTGATGCAGCTGTTGCCATTTCTTGTTCAAAGTCAAGTGCAACATAGCACAATTTTTCTTTGATGTCACGAACAATTTCACGTTCAGCAGTTGTGACAAATGAATAACCACGTTCAGTAAGAATCTTCATTAAATAATCAGTCAAATCACGACCAGCTAAATCAAGACGGAGGATAGCATGAGGGAGAGCATAACCTACAAAATAGAAATAAATTATTAACAATTATATAAACATGAATGTATGTATGCTTTTTTTGTTTACCTTCATAGATTGGTACGTCGTGTGTGACACCATCACCTGAGTCAAGAACAATACCAGTGGTACGACCGCTAGCATAGAGTGAAAGTACGGCTTGGATAGCGACATACATAGCTGTAAACAAAAACAGTTTAAGTAGTTATTATTTAATACTAGTGATGATGATGATAATAAAACTCACCAGGTGAGTTAAATGTTTCAAACATGATTTGTGTCATTTTTTCACGATTGGCCTTTGGGTTAAGTGGGGCTTCGGTTAAAAGAACTGGATGTTCTTCAGGTGCAACACGAAGTTCATTGTAAAATGTGTGATGCCAAATTTTTTCAATATCATCCCAGTTAGTAATGATACCGTGTTCAATTGGGTATTTAAGTGTTAAGATACCACGTTTTGATTGAGCTTCATCTCCAACATATGAATCTTTTTGACCCATACCAACCATAACGGCTTGATGACGAGGTCGACCAACAACTGATGGAAATACTGATCGAGGAGCGTCATCACCAGCAAAGCCAGCTTTACACATACCTGTATATAACAAATCATTATTTCAAAGTTCATACTCGTACATGTATTCTTTTTTTTTCTTACCTGATCCATTATCAATAACAATAGCTGCAACGTCTTCGTCACACATTTTTCTTCTTGATTTTTAGTACGAGTGGTAAATGTTGTAAGTGATGTTGCTGTGAATATGCAAGACACAAAAGGCAAGCTTATGATGGATAGGACCGAAAGTTATATAGTAACTACTATTTTTCTCTTCTTTTCTCGGGCACTCTCGTATGCCGTATAAGGATATACATAATAGTATATTTGGTAATATCTGTGGTTTTTCTATACAGGAAAAGAACAACGAGTATTTCCTTATATGGATATATGTAGTAGTACCGTAATAGGAGAGAACACCACAGTTGTATGTATATCTACACATATGTATACATAAAGCGGTGAACTATACAAACGGGTGTGTTGCCGCTCGCCTCGACGTATACTTATTAGCCTGATGCTATTATGGATTGTTCTTCTTTTTCTTCTGCTTCTCTTTTTTTGTCGATGCATATGTGTAGTATTGAAAAATACAAGCGAATAAAAACTATCAAACCAACAGAAATAGCTACATAAAAGAACAAGAAAGTAGAATATGTCTGTATAGATTATATAAGAGAAATTACAATAATATATCTTAACTTCTATCTGACACTGACCTATATTTGACGCTAATGGCTTAGGCGGTCGATTCAGATAAAAACAAAATTTTTCTTACTAATTAACAACCTCAATAAGCCAGATAAGGAACTTATAAAAAAATGTTGCGACACATTAATTTTTCCACAGTCGTTGTTAAAAATAGCTTTTACTAAATGATTTTAGTATTATATTGCTAAAAAATATTTTAATGCAAAATTTTTATATTAATGATATAAATGAATTCTAATATCTTTGCATTTTAGTTTACCTAAATGCAAAGATAAAGTCTAATAGATTGACTGAATATTTCACTTAGACAGCTATTTCAAGATTGATGAATAATTTGAGAAATATTACAAAAATTTCTTTTTTCTCGTATAGGGAAGAAAAATCACGTGAATCGAATTCATTTACAAATCTATTTTTCTATTTCTTTTTTAAACTTTGTATATTTATCATTGTATTTTTTTTGCTTGTTATCTTTATCATAGTGCTTAATCACTATTAGTTTGCATCAGATATAGTAAATGGAAGCATTAAGTGGTGAGATCTATCATCTTTATTTTAGAAGATTTTTTTTTCAGCGAGACGTTGAGTGAGGTGTCAGTAATTCGAAATTGGACCATTTCTTATTGTAATTTTTGCCAAGATTGCATAGAGCTTGTGGAGAGATTTCTAAAATTGTTGTTCCGACAAAGCTGAACAATGTTTTTGTAGCGAAACTGGGGAAAACTAGGTTAAAAAAAAATCAAAAAAGTCAATGAAAATTAGAACACATCAAAAGCATGAAGCCTCGAAAGTTTCAATATTTATTCGAATCTTTTTTGATTTTACTCGTCATATAGATTTTTCAAAAAATTTGGTTTATTATTGAGAAAGTAGATCTTTTCAATATTATAGCAAAACGCCAAATATAGAATTTGTATATAGAGGTTTTCACTATTAGAACTTCAGTTATAAATGAGAAAAACATCATGAATAGAATCAGCAGAAAAATCTACATCGAATATTACACTCAATACTATAATCAAGTTTTCGTCAATTAGCAAGTTTAGATGAACCAAAAGTCAGACTTACTGAAAATAACAGTGACACGGTGCAACATGCGAAATGTGGTTTTAAATATTAAGCTCACTATTCGATATACATTTATCTGCTGATTCTGATCATGAAACTCGTTTCATTTGCAACTCTAGTTCTGATGGTCAAAATCTCTGAATACAAACTTGTATTTATGATCTCTATCTAACTATGGTGAGAAAAAGACGCCAAAAACAATTTTCTCAAATATCGCATTGCAGACATCTTATTTCTAAGATTTTCTTATTTTTGTTCAAAACTACATTTATATAACAACTTAGCTGGTTTCAGTTCTCGATAATAATAAAGAATCTAGCGTTCATTGAGATATTTCATTTCAAATTTCCTTATTTTTATTAAATCCAAAATACAATTTTTTTATCAATAAAAAGATCTGTTCTTGATCGTAAACAATGTATATCAGAACACCATTTGACTTGGTCTTATACAACCATCTGCTAGATAGTAACTATGATATTAACAAAAGAAATATCATACACAGTCAAATGACACTGCCATGAACAGATTTGTTCATGAATATCCTAGCATGATCGATAATCAGCAACAGACATGTATATGACAAATGAATCAAACAGAGGAACAAGGAAAAAGTTATACTCAACGTCGG